AGCATCGAGGACTCTCCTTCATAGGGTCGCTATGAGTCGCCTGCGACACGACGGCACTTAATAAAAACAACAACAACAATGAAATGAACTAACAGTTGTTAAGGTTATTTCCATTCTCTGAAGATGACAAAAAAGAACTATATAAAGACAAAAAAAGAAAAATAAAGCAAGGATTGGGGGTGATTTCATGTGACTGTGATGGCAAAGGTGATGTTTCAATTTTGACAACAAAATTTAATTATTATTGTAGGTACATTATATTGGTGGCTGTTGTTAATTGCCATCAAGTTGAGCACGACTCATAGCAACCTTGTGAACAAAGGCCTGAAGCCCTTTCACAACCACTGCCATTTATCAAAGTTCCCAGAGTTCCCAGAGGCAGGCTGTTTAGGAAGTGGATGCCACGCCTGCTTCTAACATTATACTGGTAGGTAATAAAATAAAAACCTATAATTAATAGCAAACAATGTAACAGCTATCAGTCAGCTTCTTTTTTCTGTGTTCATTTAATTGTCAAAGGATCTATCAGGCACCATGATTCTTAATGATCTAATTCAGTGTGTGATAATACTATTATTATTTTTCTCCTGAACTGAAAAATATTTTTGGAGACCTTAATTGTCTTTCTGTATAAAGTGTTAATTGAAGAAAACAGCAGACAATATATTTCAAGACCAACAGTTCATACAACAATGTTTTTATTCACTTTGGAAAAATACTGCATTATTAAAATAGAAATTGATTTTTCAGATAGATTTTCAAGAAATCTACTACTTAAAAATGATATATTTTTATCTGTACACATTCATTTGTTTCCTAACCATGTTAAATAATTTTATATTTTTTTTAAATTTTATATTATTTTTTAATCTAGTTTTAATTAATTTAGCATTTGTGGCTAGTGGTATAAACCTGCTTGATCAGGGATATACAGTGTTTAACATGATAACTAAAAATTACATTATATAATGTGAAATTATCTTTTATAACTAAAATTCTTGAGAAAAACTGTTATATCTTATTCTTGTTGTGTTATATCTTATCAGATGGTTTTTTGTTATAATATTTTATTATTATAGGTAGTGATGTTAAAACCATTGATAGGTACATAATTATTTTACTGTTATTTTTCAGAAAAAATATTGAAGCATCATGTTACATTGAATAGTCCTATTTATGGCTCTTGAACTCTGTCATCAATTACTTTAAACAACTCATTACAATTCCTCAATAGTTTGTGAGTCAAGTAGATTTATTATATTCATAATAACTTTGAACATTTTCTTTTTCATTCACTTTTCTTAGTCATCATTGTTGTGTATTCATGAAGTCAGAACCGACCGAGAGTTGACTGTCCATCAGGTTTTCAGAGGCAGTAAGTAACACAGGAGGAAACTGTCCATTTTTCTCCTTCAGAGCAGCTGGTGGATTTGAACCACATCTCTTGGAGACTGCAGACCACCTTATTACCAAAAGGCCACTAGAACTACTTTTTCATAATTAGTCAGAATAAAATTATGCCTTATTATCATAAGCACATTTTTTTAAAATGATGAACTTTTTTTTTTAAAGCAACATTCAAGCACTAAAAACTATCAGGCATTAAAACTATCAGAAGCAATATTCTGAGTGTCTTCAGACAAAAGGAAATACGCTCTCAAGGTTTTTCACCCAACATTAATTCACTGGCACATGTCAAACGTTGTGCTGGGTGCTGGGCTCTCTTGTATTCTCAATCTTTTTTTCTCTCTCTTATTTATCACAATGTCACATTCCACGCTTACAGTTTCACCTACTCAGGGCATCTATTACCTTTCTGCTTCACCGTAGCTGTCTTGTTGGCCTCCCCTTTGGCATTTCTAGCATGACAGACGTAGCTTCGCTTGAGGTCTTCGGGGGTAACTTTCTTGATTCTTAATATCTGAATTCTGGTTTCATCCTCTGTTTTAGTACTACTCATACTAAAAATAGAATAAAGAAAATAAAAGCATTAACAGGACTGGAAACACACTGTGAATCAGCAAAGGAGGTGAGGTGACCATAGGACCCCTGGTTGAGGGCAGATGAAAGAATAATGCGCCTTGTTACCTGTATCCCAGAACCATGTTTCGATTCCAACATTACTATTTAGTCTATATATTAAATATGGCCCCACTGTATTGATTAAATTCTAGCCCTGGCATCATAACACAGTTAGTTCTCTGTACAAAGCAAAATCTCTTCATAAGATTCTGAGACAGGATGCTTTATCAGTTTAGAAGCAATTCTCAGATACTACTGAGTCTGGCTACAAGTTCTTTCATGTACTATTTACTTTGTGTAAGCTAATAACTCTTTCCAAGTCTTCAAGTTGTTGTTAAGAGTCACTGACTTGGCTCCAACCAAGAGCTACACTATGTACAACAGAACTAAACTTGGCCCAATTATGCACTATTTTCATAATTTTCACTTTGGTTAAGCCCATCACTGCAGTCACCTCACCAAGCCTTCCCACTGAGTCTTCTCCTTCACTGATCCTCCACATCTCTAGCCATGATGTCCTTTCCCAGGAACCAGCCCCTTCCGATAACATGCTCAAAATAAGAGAAGAAGAAGGTTCAACATCTTTGCCTCTAACACACACTCTGGTTGCACTTCTTACAACACATATTTATGTGTTCTCTTGGGAGCCCATAGTGTATCCAATATTCTTCATCAACACCATAATTCAACAACATCATATATTCTTATTGTTGTTATGTTACGTTATGTTATGCTATGCTATGCTATGCTATGCTATGCTATGCTATGCTATGTTATGTTATGTTATGTTATGTTATGTTATGTTATGTTATGTAGAGTTGGAAGGGACCAATAGCTGAACCTCCAGTGGGTTTTCGGCGGCACTGAAATCACATGGGAGGAGATTGCTCATCCTTCTCCTGCACAACAGCTGATGGCCTCGAACAGCAGGTCTTTGGGATTGCAATGGAGCTTCCTGCCACTAGGCTATGAGAGCTCCCTATAAAATATTTTTAGGTTGTCCTTATTTATTGTCCCATTTTCATGTGCATGTGAAACAATTGAAAATACTATGATTTGGCTGCTCTTCAGCACTTTCAAGAGGTCCTTGGCAGCAGATCTGCCTAACACAGTAAGTCATTTGGTTTCTTGACTGCTGCTTCCACCAGTATTGATAACGGAATCAAGTTGAAAGAAAATTTTTTACTTCAATCTTTTGTCCTTTTGTCATGATCATTGGTCTATCTGCGAGGGAATATTTCTGTTTTCTTTACTTAATCTATACTTAAGGCTATGTTCTTCTATCTTCATCAGCAAGAGTTTCAAGTCTCCTTCAATTTCTTCGGGCATAGTTGTGTCATCTGCATAAAGCAGGCTGTCGATGAGTCCTACTTCCATTCTGATGCCAATTTTCCCTACATATAGTCAAGGCTCTCATACTTGTTCAAAATACTGAATGAAAAGTATTGGGAAAGGATACAACTCTAGTGCAACTGTTTCCTACTGTGAAACCATTCAGTACCCTCTGATTCTGTTAGGAGGGCTTCTTGATCTAAGTACAAGTTCCACATGAGCTTAGATGTTCTGAAATGCCATTCTTTTCAATGTTATTTATAATTCATTGTGATTACCACAGCTAAATGACTTTCAGTAGTCAGTAAAAATAAGTGTGTATTTTTCTGGTATTCTCAGCTTTTAGTGAAGTTCCATTTGACATCAGCAATGGCAACCTTTGTCCAGACACCTTAGGGTCTTCCATTTGAAAAGGTAGAAATGCCTACACAGTCTGTTATATGGAATTACATATTATTATGAAGAATTCCAAGGATTGAACATATCTGTGTATAAAATATTATATCAATGCTGCTAATGTATAATTACTTAAGCTAAAATACTTGGTAAATATTATAAATTATTATTATCATCCTGCACTTTACCACTGTAATAGATAATGTGATTATGTGATTCTCAAACAAACTTTGGATTCTGAACACAGGATTCCAAAATATTTCAGTCAAAATACTATCATCTCGTGGCTATATCATATATATTAAAAAGTACACAGAGGAAGTAAATTTTATAAAAATGAGTATGTCAGAATATTAATGAGTTAGAAATCATGTACACTGGGCTCAAGACAAAGATTAAAAATATCTTTTTTTAATTGAATTTAATGGAAGTTTACAGAGACTTTGGATTCCATTCATTCCTTGTTGCACTTTTCTCACTGTCCACCCCTCCCCCTAATTCACTTTTCTCTTTGAAAAGTAAAAGAAAATTCTTTCATTGTTATTCAATCCCTCTCCCCAAGATTAAAAATATCTTTGAGCTGCTTTCCACAGGGGAGGGAAAAAAAATATCCCCTGTGGCCCTCATTATGTTCTTACATATGATACGGTTTGTTGCCGAGGCTGAGAAACAGGAGAAACTGTGCTATCATTTTAACTTCTGCTTAGTTCCACAACTCAAGAGACAAAATCCCCATTTTATTTTCTGTATGTAAGAATGATATGTATTCCATACTTTGAAGAACAATATTGCTCTTTGTTTTGGTGTTGCTCAACTATGTTAATATCATCAAGAAGGGATACTTCTCTATGCAACCTTAATTCTGGATTCCTGTGCTAACCATAATACTCAATTATATATCACTTCTAATCTGTTCTTTCCCTCATCTGTTTCAATATACATAATTTACCCAGTTTTTTTCTGTCATACCCCCACCCTGATGTCAGACCCATTCTACAACAGTGGCACCATGCAGTATTTGTCCCTTTGTGACTGAGATATTTCACTCAGCATAATGTCCTCCAGGGTCACCCACTTTGAATAATATTGGGAATTGTATACTAATGAAGGAATTTTTTTTTCTTTTTTCTCTCTTCGGAGGGGGAAGTGAGCTGGTGGGGAGGGGTGGGAAGGGAGAAAATTGCGGCAATGATTGAATGGAAATCCAAAACCTCTGTAAAAAAAAAATTTAAAAAAATTATAAAAAAATAACAACAAAAAAAGGAAGGGATAAAGTGACTTTCATTATTATGATTATGATTAGAAGCACACTGTGCAGACTTTCTGACATAATCAAAATGTCCTTTTCCTCTAGCCACGTCTTCATCAATTCCTTTGCAAATATTGATCCATCAGAAACCTTCTTCTCCAACAATAAATATGCTGAGTTTCCAAATTCCATGTCTTCACATATCATGTCCATTATACCGGATATACCAGTCTTCTCATATTTGTGTAGCAAATTTCTACTCATCCTTTAAATCTAGATTCCAGTATTATTATAATCTAAGAGATTTATTATTTCCTTAAAACTGTTATTTTTCTTAAATTTTTTTTTCTAATTTTTCCTAGAAAATGTGGAATGTCACATTTCACTGCATTTATTGTATTATATAGAAATGATGGTGTCATTACTGGTTACTCCTCTCAAGGCAAGTTTTACATGCTGGAAACCATTTAGGGAAAGCACACATCAGTTGTCTGAGTCACTGTGGAAAGGCTGGCAGTTAAAATCCCACCAGGGAGAGTTTCAGATGACAGATCTCAGAAGATCTACTTTTGCAAGGTTGAAACACTGAAAAGAGGATGTTGTTGTTGTTTTGTACTGTCAGGTTGAAACTGACCCATAGCTGACCCGCCAGTGGGTTTTTTATTTATTAATGATTTTTTAATACAACATATATATATATTTTCAGCATATTCTTCCTGTTTAATTTTTCCCCATTCATTCATTGTTGCACATTTTCCTCCCTGCCCACTCCTCCCACCCCCAGTTGGTTTTTCTCTTTGAGGCAGTTAATCACTGGGAAGGAGACTGTTCATCCTTCTCCTATGGAGTCGCTGCTAGATTCAAACTGTGCCTTTGGGATTACAGCATAAATTCCTACCACTAGGCCACCAGAGCTCCCTTGAAAACACCATAGGACAGTTATACTCTGCACATATGATGGTTCACCATGACTTAAAACCTATTCCAACCAATAAAACAATATTTACGGATTACAAGCAACTCAACAGCACATAACAACACCACCACAATTTAGGGTTTAAGTATTTGCACAAAGTGCTTGATACATAATCACCCTTTTTGAAATATTGCATGAAATCTGAGTTCACTATTAGGAGAAGCATATCTTTTGAATTCTATTCTGCACATAGTAAGTAGCCTTAAGATCCTTCAATCATGTTGCCATATACTTGAGCAGCTACTGGTTTTTATTAAGTGTTGCAATAAACCAAGTGTTCTTAGGAAAGGAGGGATTTCATTTATAAAGGAATCTTTGTTCTCCTAAGGCCCTCACTTTCCTCCCTGCCACCTTCCTCAAAGAAACAATCAAACACTAAATCTAGGAATGTTTAGGAACAAGTTGATCTAGGACTGCTGTTTTAAGAATGCACTATATTAAACATCCTTTTTTAAAATCTAAAGAGGATAAATACATTTTACTAATATTAACAAACTGTTAGATATGAAATAAATGCATCCTAAATGAATGAAAAATAGAATGAAGTTGGAAAATAAATGCTCATTTCCAAACAAGAAACAAAAGCGAATTCTCTGAGAAAGTGAAGACATCTGCATCCACATCTGTTTGTGTACCCTCATCCATATAATTGTGACCTTTTCAGTCTTATACGATTTCCACTTCATCTACTTCCAAGTATCATAAATGAGTAAGTCTCTCTGGACTCAAGACAGACTCTGACAAAGATGCCGAATCTAATCCAAAATTTCAAGTTATCATTGTCAAGTAGATTTCAAACACGAGGGACCCTCTAGAACAGGGCACAAGTGCCCTACAGAATTTACAAGGTTGCAAGTCATTAAGCAGCCATGTTGTGGATGGTGACTTCAAACGATAACTTTTCATTTCATCTCCAAGAGCTTTAAATACTGCATCACCAAAGCCCTTTTGTTCAGCATAAAGCTATTCTAATTCTTCAACAGTCACCAAGCAGTCAGAAACTATTTAAAAATTAGGCTTTTAAACAAAAAAGAAAAAAAAATTATAGGAGGAGTGGCATCCACTTCCTAAAAACATGCCTCTGGAAACCCTATCTACTTTGATAAATGTCGATAGTTGTAGAGGAGCTTCAGGCCTTTTGTTCATAGGAACGCTATGAGTCATGCTCAACTTGAAGGCAAACAACAATAACAACTGGTAGCATAGGAGGTAAAGGAGTTGTGTTACCAACCCAAAGGCAGGTGCTTCAAATCCACCAGTGGCTCCTTAGAAGAAAGACAATCTTCTCTGTGAAAACTTGCTGGAGTGGGGTCAGCTATGAAGTTGTTCTGATTCAAAGGCCATGACTTCAAGTTTTATAGCTGCGCAAAATTGGAATTTTTGTTTCCACTGGATCAAATATGCATCAAGGGAGCCTTGGTGGCTTAGCAGGTAAAGTGTTGAGCTGCAAATGGAAAGCTTGGCACTTTGAACCCACCAGGTGCTGTGCAGGAGAAAGAATGGCAATCTCGTCCTGCTAAAATGTATTGCCTAGGAAATGTGATGAAAGGTCACCGTGAATCAGAATTAACTTGGTAACAGTGGGTTGGGTTGGGTTTGGGACATACATGAGAAGGCTTTCGGCTATTGATTCCATTCCCTGTCCCATGATACCTTTCATTGACGGTAACGTCTATATTGGTGTCTTCAGGCTTTTTTCCATCAATGGTCCACCAAATCTCATTGCGAGAATCCTTCAGGAAAGTAAAAAAGACTGTACAGGGAATGAGGAGCTCCTCTCCTGGAAAGCAAGTGAACAAAGTTAATCCATCAACTTATAACCTACACATGGCTAGACTGGTTCTCTGAACCTCATTAGAAGGGAATGAAGTTAGGCACTGCTTGGGAAAGTAGATTGGCAGTAAAAGAGTGAAGCTCTTCAACAAAAGACTAACACAATGACTACAAAGCTATTGAGTGACCATGTCCATGGAGCAGAGTAGGGCAAGATTTTGAGCTCTTGTTCAGAGAGTTGCTACAAATCATAGCTGATCTTATGATACCTAACTTAGCAAAAGTTATGAATACATAGACACTACATATAAATAATTTTCATTCAGTGAGTTAATATACCATACTTCCTTCCAAATGAGTAAATATTATCATAAGGCCATGAACTTTTTTTTAAAAACTACCAGAATGACTAATATATTCTTTTAATTTTTTTAATATTGTGGTGAATATAAACATAGCAAAAGATACTAACCATTGTGGGGAAAAAAAAAAACACCAAAAAAACCCACAAACCAACCATAACGAGTGCACCCCAGTGTCTTTGAGTAAATTCTGACTCAGAACGATAAGGTTTTCCAGGCTGTAAATCTTTATAATAGCAGACTGTCACGTATTTGTCACATAGCTGCTAGGGTGTTCCAATTCTTGACCTTAAGGTTAGTAGCTGGGTGGCTATGGCAGCTCTTTTATGTTTTCAAATTCTCTTACTATCCTTAATGGAAGCTTAGTGCCCACTATGCCTTAGTGCAGAATATTCCTTCCCCAACCTGCCCTTGTTGTTATATATCATCAAGTCAGAACTGACACATAGCTAACCACCCAGTGAGCTTTCAGAGGCTGTAAATGGCACCAGAGGTGACTTCCCATTTTTCTCCCTTGGAGCAGCTGATGGACTTGAACAGTGTGCTTTTGTGTTTGCGGTGCAAATATTGACCACCTTCAGAGATCCCCTACACCTGGCCCTCGTAACGAGTTTCCTGATCAAGGTTTTCCCAGGAATATGTTCTTTGTCTCATTTTATAGTTATAATTTCCCTCTCACTAATTATAGATCTTGTCTGGTTTTGTTGTCAAAAAATGTTTGAATATAGAAGCTAAATTGTATGGACACTACTTTCAACTCAGGCTTATCTAATTCCTCATACTCTATCTTTATTTCCAGCACTTGAGTCTCATGGCTTCCCTTCTGATTTTCTTTATCAGCATGTTACCAAGGAAAGACAAATGAGCGTGGCTTTAGGGCTGCCTGCACCCTGCAGGTGTCCATGTTTGCAATGTGCTTTAATAAATAACTTGGAGTAGAATGGGGACCATTTTAACCACACTTAACTAACAGTGAAGAAGGCAAAAACATAATTTGTGAAGAAATATTTTACAAGAATATTTACGCAAAGTCTTGAGATCACGTTTTGCAGCATAAAGGATATGCAATAATGTAATAAAGGAAATCTTGCTATACTGGCTCCAGGAAATCGAGTATCAAACTTTGTAGAATTTTAATTTAAGGGAGCTTTGGTGGTGTATTCCATAGGAAGTTAAGCTGCTACCACAGAAAACTTGGTTGGAAGTTAGAATCTACCCCAAGTTCCTAAGGGAGAAAGATGGATTATTTCCTCCAGTGCATTTTCCAGCATCAGGGACCCCCTAGAGGGTCAGGTATGAATCAGTTCCAAAACCATGGTGATGAGTTTTATTATCTTATAAGCCAAACCCATTATGGTCAAGTTAATTTTGAATCATGGCAACCTACCAACTGGTTTTCAAAACTGTAAACCTTCACAGGTGAAGGTAATTCATCTTTCTCCCACAAAATGTCTAGTGAGATTGAACTGCCAACCTTTTGGTTGGCAATTCACCGCTTTACCTGCTATATGTTTCCATGCCCTCTTCAGTTATTATTTGTTGTAGTTGCTCCTTACCATTTTACTAAAGTATCTTTTACACATTCTAAACAAAGCATTTTTATTATCTCTAATTGGAATTGCAGTGAATTTTGTGTACTGGACCTAATATAGAAAACATTAACACTGCTATAAGTTTCAACTTAAATATGGAAGACTTTGAATCAGAATGGCATACACAGGCTACTTGATGTGGGACAAGTGATTTACATCTAGGGGTAAATGAAAACCAAAGAAGATCTGGAAAGCCATGATAAATATTCTAACTGAATAAGGGTGAGAAGGTCTATCAGTTACCCCCTAATACTACACTGGTCTGTCTATAAACTTGATCTCTTAGTACTTTCATAGTGGAGGCAAATTGCAAAGAATGCCTTGCCTTTATACTGCAAACTTGGAAAAAGTAAAGTCCTGTGCAAACTAAATTTTGATTCAAACAGAAAGCATTAATCTTCAGAGGATAGCTAGTAGAGGGGGAAGAGAGCAGACACAGCAAAAGAAAAAACTGCTTAATTTCCAAGGTGATTGGTGAAGTAGCTGGTCCCTAGGGCTGCTTTGGTTTCTGACAACTTTTCAGTTTCAAGTTTTTTCCTTAATAGAGCCTTCCATCCTTTAGTGTTAACTTAAAGGACACCTTATACATTTCACTAAGAGGAACTTAAAGGACACCTTATACATTTAACTAAGAGCCTAACTGAGAAAGTAAAATCAACATAGGCACAGTTGTAATTACCTGGCTCTTTCTCATAGATAACGACATCATTGGGTGAGTGGATCTGGGGGATCTTTGCATCTATTGGTGAGCCTATCACGGAGACAAAAGAAGAATACAATATGATTTTAAATAATATAGCTCATGAGTCCTCACGAACCACTTTAAAAGTCTGCTTTTCTGTAGAGTCTTCCCATTCCTGGCATAGTCTGTTAACTCTTCTTGATTGAGCCTACAATCCAATGCAATTTTACCTCCTTAGTCACCTAAAACAATATACTGAGCAGAATTCATGTTTCAGAAGAGATTATTTAACCAATTTCTTGGTCGTGAAAGTTTACATTAAGTAACAGTTTGGAAACAGGAGTGGCATCCACTTCCTAAATAACATGTCTTCAGAAACTCTAAGAACTTTGATGAATGTTGATAGTTGTAGAGGGTCTTTAGACCATGCTTGACTTGAAGGCAATCAACAACTACAACACTGTACAATAAATCGCTTTCATATCTTAACTGATTCTTATGTCTATATGAAGATATATATATATATATATATACACACACACACAAACACACATACATATATAATTGATTAAGACATGTCTACACTGTGTAGGCATAATTTACATGGAATCTAGTTTTTTATATGTATACCTACCTATATATGTATATAGGTATACATACACACACACGCTAAATGACTGAATAAATTCATAGAAATTAAACATTCACAATTCTGAGCCTAATATGTGTCAGCACACCTGATATTTCATTATTGGTTGATTATTCAAGCATGCAGTTACTACTATGCATAATGCCCTACCATATGAAATGAAAGACAATACCCAAAGGGATTTTATAAGCTAAGAGTATAGATTTTCAAAGAGTGAATGACCATATCTGGCACATTGTTGTTGTTCTTGTTATGTGCCATCGAGTCGCCTGTGACTCACAGCGACTCGATGTACAACAGCTCTATCCTGAGCCAGTCTCACTGACTCCCACACCACACACCTATCTCTACTACCCAGTTACTGTGTCAATCCATCTCATCCAGGGTCTTCCTCTTCTTAACTGTCCCTCCACACTTCCAAGGACCAGTCCTTCCTGGCCATGTACCCAAAGTGTGAAAAAAAGCTTCAAAATCCTAACCTCCAAGAAGAAACTTGGTTTTACATTCTCCAAGACAGACTTGTTTGTTTTCTTGGCAGTCCATGGTATGTTCAAGACTCTTCTCCAGCGCCACAACTCAAAGGTATCAAATCTTCTTCTGTCATCATTAGTCTTTGTCCAGCTCTTTGATACATAACAAGTAATTGTGAAGACCATGGCCTGGATCAAACACACCTTAGTCTCTAGATTGACATCATTGCTTCCCAGTACTCTGAAGGGGTTCTTGACAGCAGATTTCCCAGTGCAAGTAGTCTTTTCATTTGCTGACTGCTGGTGCCAAGCGTGTTGATTTATAGTCAAGAAAGCTATAATTGTTAACAACTTCAATCTCTTCTCCATCTATCATGGTGCTGCCAATTGGCTCAGTGGTGAGAATCTTTGTCTTCTTGATGTAAAACTTCAATCCATATTGAAGACCGCAGTTCTTGACCTTCTGCAGCAAGCGCTTCAGGTCCTCATCAGTTTCAGCAATCAAGGTTGTGCCATATGCATAACACAGGTTGTCGATGAATCTTCCTCAAATACTGATGCCACATTCTTCTTCATAAAGCCCAGTGCCCTGAATGATCTGTTCTGCATATAGGTTGAAAAGATATGGAGACAGTATGTATCTCTGATGCACTCCTTTCCTGAATTTGAACCATGCAGTATTTCCCTGCTTTGTTCTGAGGACTACTTCCTGGTCCAAGTATAGGTTTCACATAAGCACAATCAAGTGTTCTGAGACTCCCATTCTCCTCAAGGTTAGCAACAATTTGTTGTGAACCACACAGTCAAATGCCTCCGCATAGTCAATGTAACACAGATAGATATCCCTCTGGTCGCTTTGCTTTCTGTCAAGATCCATCTGACATTGGTGGTAATGTCTCTAGTGCCACAACCTCTTCTAAAGACAGCTTGTCTTTCTGACAGTTCTCTGTAGATGTACTGTTCCAGCAGTTTTTGGATAATCCTCAGGAGGATTTTTCTTGCACGGTATTTGGCACATTGGTTAAAGTTTTCAAACTTTCATGTGAGACTAAACCACCTCACAGAGCTTTATGATGATTAAACCTTGCATATAAATAACTCACTAGTAATATATAAGACTAGTGCTGTTACATATGGAGGAACATTCTTTCACTTTGCATATCACTCTTTGTCACTGTGGTATGTGAGGTAACCTGTGTTTGCTGTGATGCTGAACCTTGTGTCATGGGTAGATCAAATACCAGAATAGTTCCCCATTATGGACAGTGTTTGGTGGAGCTCCCAGTTGTAAAACAGGTTTGGAAGCAGGAGTGGCATCCACTTCCTAAACCACATGCCTCTGGAAACTTTATTAATTTGATGATGGTAATTATGGAAAGGCATTAGATATTTTGTTCATAGCACTGCTATGAGTTGTGCTCAACAGCAATCAACAACAACAGTAATATATACTGATATACTAAATACTCAATAATTTGAAGCTTTATAAATTTTTTTCCTTTGAATGTTGGGTAAGAAGCCCCTTTCCATGCCGGTCAATTTCTATATTCATAATTCAGGGTAACAAAGCATGCTTCTTTCCAATAAAAATGGATAAATTTGTAAAAGAATGTTACTAGAAAACACACACACACACACACACACACACACACACACACAATTATCTGATATAAAACTACTAAAATAAATATGAGATTATTCAGCTGATTCTAAAAGTTCATTCATGTTGGCATGTTAAGTTTAAAATTTAGCCTATTTTTATTTTCTTCTGAATTGCTGCCCAACTCAGCATTCCTCAATTCTAACAGAAAGTTATCAGAGAAAGAGAGAAAATTATCCTAAAATGCGTGAATGTGAATTTTATATGCATTATGTTAAAGTCAATTTTATTTTTGGTGATTATCAGGCTAGAAGAAGAGCTCTGAACTGTGTCAGAACCCTGCGATTTAATATTACTTCTTCCATTAACTTAGATTTTCTCCAAACAGGTGACTCCCTGCCTAGGGGCCTAAATGTTCCTGTCTAATAAAAGATTGAGTGTGACAAAAATCTCTGAATCTCACTCTAGTATACTATTTAAGCAAATGGGTACAGAAGGATGTAGACTTACCCTCAGATAATACCCGTGCTAACAGAGTTCTTTTGTTTGCTAAAATGGATAGAGGTGCTTTCTACCTATGCGCTGATTTGGGTACTTCCCTGTTACCAAGGCCTATTCTTAGTACAAAACACTGGCTGCACACTGCCAGTTAGCACCTTCAGCAGAAGTACACAGTATACAGAAAAAATAAAGTTTATTTAGCCTTAGTAAAATAATTTTTTAAAAGGTATTACTCCTTTAATTAAAGAATGGAATAAATATCTGGAGGTGCTCAATATCTAAACACTGTCTATGCCACTTCCCTCCTAAATAATTTCATTTTCTTGGTAGTAAAATATCTTTTGACAGTAGCATTACTACATGCCTAACACTGTATTATTTCACCTGTGTATCCTATTTTTAATATTCACAACCACCCTGAAAGTTAGGTGGTCTTTGTTTCATAAGATAGCTAAGGAGATATTTCTCGAAGTCATGCTGCATTTCTAAATAACAGCTGTTATATAATTGAAAATAAATTTGTCTGTTTTTTTTTCATTAATTCACATGTTCAGTCAACCAGTAATTCTTGAATGCTTACTGAGTACTTGGATTTGCTGAAAGATATATGAATTATGTAATAACAATAAGACTCTTTAGTACAGACCTCATGAACTCATGTGCAATAAATTATTAAGGCCTTAAATAAGACTATGGCATTTTTGTCATGTGCATTTAGTAAAAATCATGCTTACCTACCACCTTCACAGTCAGAGTCCTGGTAAGATGGAAGGTTCTCCCATTCTCTGGATACGTAACAACACATGTATAGTTATCATTAGCTGAAACAGTGGTAAAGGTAAAACTCAAGATCATGCCATCAGGTTTTACAGAATGAAAGTCTTGTATCACATAACAGCCCTGGAAAAAGGAGAAGAAGATCTGCTTAATATTTAGATCCAGGCAATACAGATAAAGAAATATATATAAACACACCTGTACAGTCTAATTTAATTTTGCACAGAAATTCCAAACACCAGTTCTATCCTTTCAGCAAACTATTTTGAGTAAATATTTGACAGTATGTATGCAAATGATTAGAATAAGTAAAATGTACACTTAAATTTGGAACTGAGATACTGATTCAGCAAAATAGACTTCATACTTCAGAATCCCATAAGAGAACTACAGGAATTCCATGTTGACAATGAATAATGGTTAAAAATAGAAATAATGAAAAAATATACTTTAAAAACCCTCAAATATTTCTATTTAGATAAAAAAACCTCATTTTTGTACATTTCATCACTGACTATATTAGTTCAGAATTTGATCACTTGTAAATGTGTGTGTGCACGCACACATACACATATGCCATTTCCAAATATTTTTGTTTTTCTTGTATTATGTCATGCCACATTTTACACTTGACTGTAACAGCTTGAGAGCATGAAAATATCTTTTGTCTTTCTTTTCAAGTTTTATTTGAGTATAAGTTTACAAAACATGTAGCTTTTCAATCATTCATATGCATACTGTTTCATAACATAAATTACAATACACATGATATCTAATCATCTATGCATTCCATATTGTTTTTACCTTCACCTATTATTAATAGTTCTTATTATCTGTTAATTAATTTTCTATTCCCATCACTTCTTTCTGGAGGCCATTCTAGAATGGTTCTCTCTGTATTTGCATTTTTCTCTCCAGTTTTTTTTAACAATGGTTCCATAAAAATATTTTTTATAAAGAGCCTTACAGAAATCAAACCAAACTTCTTGTTGAGCCAATTCTGACTTCTGATAATCCTACAGAACAGAGGAGAGTCACCCCATCAGTTTTCCAAGGTTGTAATCTTTATAGAAGTGGGCTGTAACAGTTTTCTTCCATACAATAGACTGTGAGTTCATTAGCTGTCAAGTGCTAAACCACTGCAGTACCAAGGGCTAAGAGCTAGTTTTTTGGTTCCTAGCACATACTTTCAAATAATCATTACTGTATTCTTTTTTTAAAATTATGTCTCTCATTCAACATAACTAAAATAATATTTTTGTGTCTCAGTGGCTCACTATTTGGTTTTATGGTCTAATTTTACTTCCTTTGAGAAGATAAAAAAATCCAACACATCATCTGGGACCAAAAAAAGAAAAAAACCCAAATAAACCTGTATCTTGAACATTTTCTTTTAGAAGAACATTGTATGTGTTTTCCTTTTAAAAATAACTATTTAATCTATGGCAAAAATACATTAAAAGCAAAATCCACAGCCTCTGAAACACAGGTGGAGGGTCAGCTATGTGTTAGTGGCAAATCAACAGCACACAAAAAGTAAATATCAAACATTTTATATACCTAATTTATAATTTGAGGACTTTTATACAAATAAAATAGCCATATGGTATAAATAAAAATATATATAACTGAAAAATGTTATTTTTTAAAGTTTTTAAACAAGATATTGAGTGACAGTTTCTCTCCGGTTATTCTAATTGCTATAGACTTGGCTGTATGTGTATGGAGCCCAAAGGTGTTATTTCTCCAAAGAGCATTTGATAGATATTAAACTGAGTCTTTGCTTGAGCCTGCATAGTTCTTTAATGTATAATTTATTTTTGCTATATAATAATGTCCCTAAGAGAAACAAAAGTAAAATCTAAAGAAATAACTAAAAGCTTCCTAGAAGTAACCAATGCTCAGGTCTAACTGCCTACAAAGTGAGAGTCTCATCTACCCTGAGACCAGAAGAACTAGATGGTGCCTAGCTTTCACTACTCACTTCTGATCATGGTCACAGTAGATGAACTCAGGAAAGATGAAAAACAGTGAATCAAAATAAAGTTTTTTAAAATGACTAGGCTTACAGGGTTGGTGAAAGATCTATCAACATCTGCGTTATGCAGATGACACAACCCTGCTTGCTGAAACTGAGGAGGACCTGAAGCGCTTGCTGCAGAGGGTCAAGGACTGCAGCGTACAATATGGATTGAGGCTCAATGTCAAGAAGACAAAGATTCTCACCACTGGACCAATTGACAGCATCAGAATGGATTGTGAAGAGATTGAGATTATGCACAGCTTTAGTTTGCTTCGGTCCACAGTCAATATTCTTGGCACCAGTAGCCAGGAAATTAAAAGACATATTGAAATGGGAAAATTTGCTGTTAGGGACCTTTCCAAAGTTCTGAAGAGTAATGGTGTCTCTCTGGAGACTAAGGTGCATCTGATACAGGCCATGGTCTTTGCAATCACTTGTTATGCATCAGAGAGTTGGACAATGACTAGGGAGGATAGAAGAATTGATGCCTTTGAGCTGTGGTGCTGGAGGAGAGTACTGAATGTACCATGGACTGCCAAGAAAACAAACAGACTCATCCAGGAGAGGATTAAACCTGGTGGCTCCTTGGAGGCAAGGATTCTGAGGTTTTGTCTAACATACTATGGACATGTTACAGGGAGGGGCTGTTCCTTGGAGAAGGACATCATTCTTGGGAGGATGGAGGGGCAGTGCAGGAGAGGAAGGCCCTCTATGAGTTCGATTGATTCAATAACTGGGGTAATTGGGATGGGTGTGTAGGAGATGGTGCAATTGGCACAGAACAGAGCCGAGTTTAGGGCTGTTGTACATAGGGTCTCTATGAGTCATAAGTGACTCGATGGCACATAACAGCAACAGCAACAACAACAACAACAACAGGCTTACAGGACCAATTCAGACAGAGGATTTCCTGCAACTGTCAAAATGAGATTTCTTTAAAGCTTGAATTAAAACCACTGCCTGAGATCGAGCAGGCTTTAGTGAGACAGCAGGGGCATGTAAAATAAAGCATATTACATGTGAGCACAGAGCTCTCCAGATGATGCCAAAAAGGTCATCAATTACTCAATTATTCTAAAACCAAAAAATCACAACACTCAGAAAATAAAAAGTCAGAAAAATTAGAGTAGTGGAGAGAACACAATTAAGAGAAAGTGGCACATTGTGAAAAATGTTGCTGAACAACCTGTGCAGAAATTATCGAATGGGAATTAATTTGTTGGATAAACTTTCATAAAAACATAATAAAATATAACATTATTTTAACTAGACTTGTAAACTCCAACACTGCAGGTATTCTGATATAAAAATAAAACTATGACTTAATCAGTTACAATGCTCTTTAAAGAGCCAAAAATGGGCTTCCGCCTCTGGGCAGGTTATTTATCTGTTGTCAGAAGAGGCCAGTCTTTAGAGAAAAGACAACATTCAGAGAAAAGAGAAGATCTTCAAAACGTTAGATAATCACAGAGACTGCCACAGTAAGCTTGAATAAGTAGAGATCATGCTGATGGTACAGAACAGGGCAAAGTTCGACGTGTTGCTCACAGGGTCACTAAGTTATAGTTAACTCAATGGCGCCAAACAACAAACTGTCTTAAGTGTAAAATGGGAAATCTGAATTCCTTTCTCTCTACAATCTTTTCTATTTTTTAAGTTCTAGGAGTCTGTTACAGACTTGTACTTTTAATTTCCAGTATTTACATTTTCATTATTCATACTTTTCAGCATTCATTTATTTAACTATCATTTAGGTATATACTTAAGGTTCTTTTCACATTAATGGAACATGTGTTTTGAAATATAACAGTTACAGGAAGGAGGACATTTTGTAAACTTTGTTAGAGGAAATATATCGTTTAACAAAATTTTTATTTTCTACTTGTTTATTTACAAGGTTCATATACATTGTTTTTCACATTGGATCTCTCCCATTTCCTTCACCACCACCCCCTCCACCTATCAAACCGTGCGACCCTAAGATTTACAGCCCCCCATCCTCAGCCCTCTGCTCCCCTCTCGGCCTCCCCCTTGGATCTTCATACTTGTTCTACAATAATGGTCTTATACAATATTATAAGTCCTTATGAGACTAAGTTAGAACATGACTTTTATGAATTGTGCTGAATTCTTTTTTCATAGAGAAGATCATTAAGACAAAGCTGACGTGTGTTCAGGTAAGTAGTTTTCTGTCTGTATTTTATCCTATTTTATAAGTAATGTTTCCAGACATATGCCTTATCAACAAAAGATTTCCACACTCTTAGGTTATCACATAGTACAAGGCCAGCAAAAGTCTATACCCTTAAATGATGGTATATTTCATTTAATACAGAGAGAACTCTATTTGAATTGGTAGCATCTTTTATTTAAACAGCTCAAAGAGAGTTTTCCCTCATTTATTAGTTTAGCTTTCCCTTTGTCCCTGTTAAGGAATAGGTCTGACTGAACATGATCTAAAAAATGGAAACAATGAGACAGATAAAGAAATAAGTCTTTTAGATAACCCAGTGCAGGGATAAATCTGAGATCTCTGGCCTCCTGAATAAAATCTGTGACACTCATCTCCATTTTATAAATAGGAAACAATGGGTTTTAGAAACATTGACTGGCAAAGTTGAAGAGTAAAAAAATGGTAAAGCTGAAATAGGAACCAATTGTTTGAGGTCTTATTCCCACCTGATATTTTCTCCCCTTTTAATACAGGGGTCTGTGCCAACATTAGCTCAATCTTAGACTGACACCTTCAAATGATGAGGAACTGAAAAAGCAGCCACATCAGAGTAAGTCAACTATCAATAACAAACTTGCCAACATCATTCCAGAGCCATGCTGCTTCTAGGTTTTTGTTGTTATGTGATGTGGAATTGGAATCATCTCATAGCTGACCCTCCAGTGAGTTTCCAAAGGCTGTTAATCTCATGTGAGAAGACTGTCCATCTTTCCCTCTCAGAGCAGTCTGTGGCTTTGACCCTTGGGCCTTTGCATAGGCAGTGCACCTCCTTACACTCTAGACCATCTGACCTTGTGGCTCTTGAGTCAATTCCAACTCATAGCTGCCCTTCATTGGGTTTCCGAAGCTGTGAATTTCAGTGAGAGG